AGAAAGAAAAAGAAGAAGAAAAAAGAACAACAAGGAGAAAAAAGTTCCAGAAGACCTTAACAAATTTGGAAGGATTCTGTCTTGTAATAACTATAGCACGTGCCATTAGGCCTGCTAACGAGAAAGATGACGATGAGTGCTCTAGTTATGTGCATTATTTCTTCAAGTATAGATCTGCACTGTCCTAAAGCTATCTGACACAAATTCCACGCCATTTTGTTTGCAAATTTTAACATACAGGAAACATTTCAAGCAAAATATGAAGGTGTGCTCATATTACACTATATTCATTGTGCATTTTATTTGGTTTGTCAGTTATCAAATGGAATGGCAGATACAGGTTAAATACTGTTTCCCCCTTCTACAAAATATGAGTATTTATTATAACAGAAGTTGCATATGTGTTTTTAAAGATAACCACACAGATTTCCCAAGACCTTATAATAAAACATGCTAGTATCACTTCTGGGTGGACAATATTAAAATGGATCTTAGAGATACAGGTTGGGATGGAAGGGACTGGATCGATCTGGCTGAGGATAGAGACCAGTGGAGGGCTCTTGTGAGCACTGTAATGAACCTTAGGGTTCCAAAAGATGCTGGAAAGTTCTTAAGTAGCTGCACAATTGGCAGCTTCTCAAGAAGGGTTCAGCTCCATGAGTGAGTAAGTGAGTATCACTTCTACCTTGGAAGTTTAAACAACTTCCATGCTTTTGTGTGCATGGTGAGGGTTATGAACTTGAAATTTGTATTACAGTGTTCATACCAACTTTCATGTTTCATGAAAATATGTCTGTTGGTTCAAAAGCTGATGGAGGTAGACATACTCATACATATGTACATTGACTTGATAGAAACCTTTTCCTGCTTGTAAATAGCATACTCGTATGTTAGATAATCACAGCGATCATTACACAGGTTGTCACAGCTTGCGATAGGAAAACACAGTGGTGTGGTGGATAAATGATTGTTTTACTGTTGCTGGAACTCTTCTGCTGTATTCAGATTACATGTCTTGTCATTTTGCTCCAGGCCTTAACAGCTTACAAGCATCATCTGCGAGATGCTGTCAGTAACCTTGGTGCTACTACCACAGCTGCTGACCGCTTCAGTGATGAAACCTTCCATTTTGAGAAACGTATTGCTGAAATAACTCCATCTCTTGTGGACTTGCAAGATCCCACACATGCTACCATTGTGACAGTGCAGAAGCTGAAGATACTGGCCCCTTCTGTGAGTTGACTGTGTGATGATATGCATTTACAGTTACATTTGCATGATGGTCAGCTGCACAGGATGTGTACAAAATGTACATTATGTCAATATTATTTTGCACATTTTCTGCGTCTCTCATATATTTGGTATGCGTGACATTTCATGTTTGCTGTAGTCCCGTTTTCTTGTGTTTGGTTATCATTATACTGACAAATGTTATTGTTGAGTTTTTAGCCTATTTTCCTTATGTTTGAAAAATAAAAAGAGGCTTATGAGATCACCTTACTGCCTATGTACCTGTGCCCCCCCCCAAAAATGCCTGAAAGCTGGAATAGTGGAGACAGAAGAGATGGTTTTCGTTAGGCAGCAGCTCATTAAACATATTTCTGTGGCAATGGATATACACACAACAGAAAAGCTGTTGGTCACGGTGATTTCTTTGTGGTCTGTGGTGTATGAAATGCTCAATATGTAGTGAAAGGAAAGCAGGTAATTAGTTCTCATAGAACTTATTATTTTTATTACATTGGTGATGGTTCTGGTGCAACTAGACTGCCCCAGAGATGTAGTAGTTAGTGTACTAGAATGTGATCCTAACTATTGCCACTAATATTAGCAATTAAGGGAGTCCTCAGTGGAACTCATAAAGCATATTTCTCTGTTGTTAGGTTTCCAGTTACAGATCTTACGTTGTTAGTGCAACATTTAAATAAGAAAAATTTATAACAATAAAATGCTGTTCAACCTGTTTGTTACCATGTGTGGTCATCCACCTGAACTGTAGTTGAGTCAGATTTTTTATGCTTGCAATTGCAAATGTGATAAAATTTATCATAACTGTCACCAGCACCAAGAGCATAGCATCATAATTTTCATTATCATTATTACCACAGTAAGTTTTTTCTTTTGAGTGTATAGAAGAAGAATAGTCACTTACTCCTACCATAAAGTTAGAATAAATTACAGTGCATGTGACTGCTTCACAAAAGCACTGTCTAGAAAACTGCAAGAGTACTAATAACATTATTTCCTTTTGGGAAAAATTTTATTAAGCCTTTTCTGCACTGAAATTTTCAGACACAACTTCCCAGTTTTGCACTGGTCCCCCCCTGTTTGTAATAAACAATATTTTATGTGGAATTTTTATGTATGTTTTTGATATGACTTTATGAAGAATTGAAATTTGCACATGTCTACACATGCCTACACACACACATGGTTCTCATAAGCGTTTTTTTTCCACATGGAAGGTACATAGGCTAAAATACAGTATAATAACTAACTTTGTCAGTGTAATGACAGTGAGTCACCTGAAGATGGGAGTACAGCAAACATCAGAAATGTGTATGTCAAATATACCTTGGGCGGTGGAAAATGTCCATTATAATATTAGTATAATGATCGGCACTTGTCACAAATATTTATGAAGTCATTAAATATACATTAATGAACATGACTTTGATAAGAATTTACATACATTTATATTTAAATCATACTTAAGATTAAGTTGTGTGCTGTTATCTTTGAGTGAAATAAATTACTACTGAGTATCTCTTGGGTGGCAGGAATATTAACCATTTATGTGTCATTTTATGTTCATACATTTGTTCAAGCTTCTCCAATAGTCTTCTGCAGTTTTTGAACTTCTTATAATTGGATACAGTGTCTTGTCCCCCATGATACATATTTTGGACTTTGCCTTTGCATCTTTCTTGATATGAGTTTTATTACATGTCACCAGATCCCACAGATCTTTAGGTACTAGGAACATTTCCACACTGAATTTCCAGTTACTGTAGTTGTTTCTTCACATAAGCTTCTTAATGGTATGGAGCAAACCAAGTCCACTTGGCACTGATTGAGAGGTTTGGGATAGGACTTCTGATGCTGGGATCTTTCCTCTTGTATTAACCATTTTTCCTTCAACACAGAACATTTCATTCAAAGAATTCTTCTCTCCTTTAACATTCGGCAAGCAAAGATATACACAGTTCTAACAGCATCTCATCATGAGAATACCTGTAGATAACTTCAAATGTCCGTATCTCACTCTTTCACAACTCACACTTCTTCCATATAATTCACTAGTACACCAAATCGCACAATTAAATTAGATTAGAAAACAAAGACAATTATAAGTATGTAACTGGATATATACTGCATAGTCTTAACCTTACTAGAAGTGACCAAAGAAGATGATAAGAAAAGATAGAGGAAGTTCAGATTACACAAGAACATTACCACTGTATTTCCAACAGGATCAGCCTATTACAAGGAATCTACCTACACAGGACAACACAAACACATAAAAAGTGCAGACATACTTGCATGCTTTAAGTGGGATTCAAACCCATAATCCCAGTGTTCTAGCAGTAGGAGACAGGACACAATAACAGTAACAAAAGTTAAGTTTATGAATGATAGATTGTCATAAATTGTACTGTAGTGGTGATATCATAAGTGTGCATTCCTCAATGGAGGATAAAAATGGTGGCTTAAAGGACATGTAGAATATAAGATTTTTAACCACCAACCAGTATGATTGATAAAAGTTGTGTTTTTAATTTTTAATTCTTTACACGTTTTGGTCAAAACGACCATCTTCAGAAGGATATTATCAACACATATGGAAACTACTATTACATGTCATAGATATAAATGTTATATATATTAACTAATACTGAGGTATACATTGATTTGTTAAAACACATACAAATTATTACAATTTGTCTGTTTACAAAGTAATGTTCAATATTTGTTTTAATCTAGAATCAATTTGTTTTGAGTCATTACACTTCTTATTAATGGAAGATAAATATATTCCACAGTGTGGGTTCATTGTCTGATGATGAAGGCTCTTCGGTATCATGGTGAAGTTATTCAGGCTATGCTGTGTTTATAACAAACATGGGGTTCTGATAGCAGTGAATATTAGCATTATGGACTTCTGGATTGTGACACCATGTGACTGGCTAATTAGGTACCAACGTCTTGGATGAACTGGCTGCTTCCATCTTCAGCATAGGAGACAGATGAAGCTAATTCTGAAACATTGGTACCTGTCTACCAAACTACATGGCCTCACATTCCAGAAGACTAATTTATACAGTTAATTACTACTGTAGTAAAAGGAAATTTCAGTGTAAAAGAAACTTGAATAATTTCAAACCAACATTTAGGAATGAGAATTTACAGAGGATTGTTGTTGATAATAAGGTTAAAAATGAAATTGTGTAATATATTTCATGTTCTTTGTCTAGATTCCCTTTCATGATATTTTGCTGGCCATGTTTCCTAAAGCAAATATTGGGGACACAACAGAGGTGCTGATGCCATCAGAAACCTACATCACCAAGGTATCTTCTGTTCTGTCAACTACAGACAGAGAGTAAGTCCCCATATTAACTTGTATAAAACAATGATGCTGTGAACTGTACTTAACCCTTAAGTGCAGTAAACAGTTACTGTATCTCTGAATATGCTGAATCATTTTACACTCTGCTTCACTGAAGTCATTAGTTACAGTGGTAGGCATCCAGATTCTTTTATTTGTCTTCCACAGTTCTACAAATTAACAATATCTAATCAACAGTAAGGATACTGTGTTATATAGTGAAATACTCTGTTGCTGCAGAACTGAGAGATAAGTTATTTGTACCTTACATTTCATTACATACTCTTATAGCAACACACCTAATAATGCTTCAGGTGAAAGGTTTGTAAGTTCCATATTTTATATTATGTTCCAGTTTATTGTATAATGAGCGATTTTTGAGAAATTAATGAGTTGGGGTAGATCAGCTAGTAAATGAATAGTAATTTGTAGTAGTAACTTACTGTTCTTCTAGCCCATGATGGAGTTTGATTAACCTCCTATCCAGTGAGTGTTGGGGCAATAGTGTGTATCCTGCTGTGTGTCATAAACAGTATATACAAAAGTATATAAGGTATGCCATCTACACAACAATAAGGATCCTTGTGTGAATAATTAGATGATAATTAATTGCAATTCATTAGCTCGAACTGGAGCATTGTATGCCTGATGATGAACCGGTGTAAGGGTCAAAACATGTTGTGTCTGTAAAAACATAATAAAAGCAACTGTTGATACAGTAGTGTCTTCTTTGTTTTTTAAATACAGCATATTGTTGTGCAGCCGGCATACCTTATATACTTTTGTATAGGGTCTCTCTTAGATGAGAAGTGATTTGAACTCAGTCCCATCTAGTGCAAAGGTTTGTATGACGCTTTAGCACCACTTCCCTGTATGTCTTCCTGATATAGTCCTTAGGTACACAGAAAAAATTTACCCTGCCTGGAATAGATCAGCTTGTAGAGCAATGTGCTATAGCCTGGATGGCTGGGGTTCAATTGCCGGCAGCGGCAAGAGATTTTTCTCTTTTCTCTAGAGTCCTGACCAGCTTTGGTGCCCATCTAGCCTCCAATTCAATGGGTAATGGCTCTTTCCTCAGGAGTAAAGGGGCCGAGGTGTGAAGCCGACCACTGACTTCCATGTAGTGCTGAGGTCAAGAATGTTGGAGCTGTACCTCCACTCCTCAATATGTCTTCATGGGCTGGTGCATACTTAGTACTACCTTACTTACTTACTTACATACTTACTTACTCATGGAGCTGAGCCCTTCTGGAGGAGCCGCCAATTCTGCAGCTACTCAAGAATTTCCCAGCATTTTAGGAACCTGAAGGTTCTTTACCGTGTTCACAAGAGCCTTCCACTGGTCCCTATCCTGAGCCAGATCTATCCAGTCCATACCATCCCATCCTGTCTCTCTAAGATCCATTCTAATATTGTTAGTACTACCTAGTGGTTTATATAAAGTTGGATAATATTGTACTGGTGTGAAGCAGATTATGTCTTCTTTATTTGTTTTACTGTGGACAGCTAAGAATAAATTCATTCAGACTTCAGTGAATGGTTTTGAAGCTGTAACATTCAAACAGATAAATGGATATTATGCAGTCATCTCATTGCTTTGTGCAAACGTACCATAAAGATTCAGAACCCATTGTACATTTACATGTGATTGGGTGGAAAAGGAGAGGATGTATACAGTCTACAGTAAGGAACATAAAAACACTTACAGAAGGAGAATCTTAAATGTTTGTTACACTGAGACTATGGAAGGAAATCCGTGGATGTTGGAGATGGTGGTGCTTATGGCTTCCCCCTTTTTGCCTACTTTTGATTTCCCTTCAGCCTCCTTTGGTCCGTATCATCCAGTCCTAAGCAAATGTTGTCACATGGTTGTCACCGTCACCTTTCCTGCAAGTGGAATGGCTAGATGACCTGGAGAGGAACATAGAGAAGTACACTGGAGGGAGGAGCATATCAGCTTGAGGGAGATGTGGTTGTGGTCAGGTCATGAGACTTCTTTTTTTGGCCTCACTATAGTAGTGGGAAATGACATCAGAAATAAATTCACTGTAATGTCTTACTTAAATGCTTTACTTATATGTAAGTTCCATTTCTGTAGTTTTCTAACCAGTCTTTATCTTAATGTAATGATATTTGTCTTCAATATATCTGCGTGCAAGACTCTTAAATTTCAGTCTCTGCTTTGACATTTGGACTTCTTAAAAGATTATGAGCTTCTAGTGTATTTATTTCAGTGCTGTCACTGCATGAAGTGTAGGAAGTTGGCACAGAATTGGAAAGTTGTATCTGCTTGTCCATCTGCACATTCTATCTTCCAAACTACTTTATGGATTTACATCACATTTGGTGTAGGTACATACACTAGAAGCTGGTGGGTAAATTCCAATATGGACTTATCAGTCCACTAAAAATCCTATTGCCATGAAGCTCAAATCAGACTTTATCTGATTTTAAAAAAGTATGTCATTATATAGAAGTGAAATATAAAATAATATTGGATTTGAGGTTCTCACAGCTGTGACTGTGAAGAGCTCTATTTTATGCAATGTAGCGGTATATAGTCTGGTGAATGTCATCTGACATCTTGGAAGTACATATTGCCTCTACCTCTGGGGTCAGTTGACTTTTGCCAGATTACCTGACTTCATATATATAAGCTCTATCTTCATTATATCCGGAAGATAGAGCTTTTCATAAATCATATTCCTCTTTAATCCTCTGCAGTGGTATACTGTATAGGCTGCCTTGTGAGACAGGACAACACCCATTCCAGGCAACATTGAGTTAGTCTTATAATCATTTTTATATAACCTAGCCTTAATACTTCAAGTTGTCACTATCATGCAGCATGGGAATGTCAGTCACTGCACTTTCAAGCAACTGCCATGTGGATACCACAGCTTACTCTCTGGCAAGTACGCTTATATGAACATGAGAGGAAAAGTGGCACCACTGCAGATTGTGGCTGCATAAGCAGAGTGTCATGCCATTTCAGTGCCAGCATAATTGGTTAAGATTTATAAATGTTATCTGAGGCATCTTTTAACTTGAGCTGTAATTCAGTGCATGAAAACAATGATGTATGCCTTTTCAGATTATTGTGATCTGGGTTATAACACTATGTTCTTATACGTGGATATCAGCATTTCAGGGTAACTTCCTGCATCCATCTTCAGCGTTGACCATGAAGATAGAAGATGTTCCTCCAAAACGTCAGTGTCAACATGGTGTCACATTGCAGAGGATCACAATCTGAACTTATGTCTTTTGTCTGCACTGTTGATTGGCTCTACTAACAACTGAAATAATGGATGTCAGAACCAAGAAGGGATGAACATTCTACATAACATTTTGCTGAACTTTATGTATTGCATATCTTTCTGTTGTTGTCCTGCATAGTTTGTATACAGATTTTGCTGTGTCATTGCACAGATATGAGTGAGATTTGGGGTTCTTATAGAAGAAGATTGTTGTATTCCAGGATGTGATGCTGTGCAGTCTGGTAGAGAGAAAATTTAGAGAGCACCCATTTGCCTGCATCTGCAGGGTATGAGATGCAATAGATATTGCCGTGTTATTGTGGAGGATAGTTGACAAACATATATATCAGGGATCTGTAAGATTCTGACGGCAGTGAATATGAAGATTACCGTCTTCTGCAATATAATGCCGTGTAGGCTAGTAGAAAGTTACTGACTTTGTAGAGGAATCCGTTGCCACCATCTGCAGGGTAGAAGGTGGAGGCAGCAGGTCCCTCTAAAATGCTGGTAACATTTACCTAACTTCATGCCACCTAATCCCAAGAGACCATAATTTTCAGTATGTATCATTGTTCTCTGTGCTAAGAATTGGTAGCTCTGAGTTTCAGCATTGTTTAATTAAGCACTGATTGTAATTCCAGATCATTGAACAATTACATGATGTGGGTGCTTGCTATGCATTACCTGCCATATCTGTCACAGGAATTCAGAGATACAGTCAACTATTTCAGGAAAGAAATGACAGGTAAATTGCAGACCTTTGTGGCTGAATGATGTAATGATCATGATATTCATTTTACTACTGTGACTGCATTGGAATTTGGTGCTTGATACTTTTCAGGTAGATGGCAAGGGTAGTACCTTAAGTAGGCCACTTCCTTTTCAATTCATTATTCACTAATCATCCTACTGTTTGACACCGTAGTCTGATTTACTGACAGAGTCATTAAGGAAACTGCAAATATTTTGGGAGCATGGAGATTCTCTCTTCTTGCTTTTTGTCTGTGAGTCTCCAATGTAACTGCTAATACTGCATGCCAGGAACCGTTTGGAAGCAGCTAATCTGCTAATGTACAGAATGATGTAGTACCAGTTGTTTTGAAAGATTTTGTGACAAAAGAACAGATTCTGGCAATTCATTGCAGAATGCATAATGTAAAGCTGTATTTTCGTTAACAGTGATGTGATTAAGTGTAAGACTTACACTTCCTTACAATTCCTATTTTTTATAGAGTCAAACATTTACTGTAATACACTTCATTGCATTTGTTTTGCAAAGATAAAAACATATTGCAAACAGAAGGTGTAGTGAAAATGAAACACATTTTATATCTAGTACACTTTCTTTATAAGTCTTAGTGTTTTTTAGATAATTCAGCAAGATTGATATGCATTCCTTATCAATAATTAACCATTGTTCCTTCATCTCTTTCTTAAGTTTAGATTGCATTAAAATCATATTTGTTTTATTTTTTTAATGCAGTGCTCTATTTCGGTATCAATTCGATGCATATATTAAACATATAAAATCAGGTTGACTAGGATCAAGCTGGTCTGTCACACTACTTCTTCACGTGTATGTATGTGTGTATGTGTGTGCGTGCGTGACATTGTAATGGTGGTTTCCTAAATGTTGATCGTGTCCTTCTGAAGATGGCCAATTAGATCTAAACATGTTGAGGGTATGAAATACTGATATACAACCTTTATAAATTAATCACACTGGACTGAACTGCAAGTCATTTTATAATACATATTCAGTTCTCATTTTGTGTATGTGTAATAACACTGAAGATTGAAGCCTTAATATTGCTTGTTTATTCATGTTTGTTTATTTTAAGTGAAGAGTTCATCATAGTTTTGTTTCATTTCTAATTCCTTCTGCCAATTGCACTTGTATGGTGTACTCCATGTACTTCCGCAGTCTTGTTTGTAATCAGTTTGATGCAGGTCCTGATATGAAAGTAGACTTTTACTGTGATGCTGGGTTAGCAGTTTATTCTGTGATAACCTGGTACAGGACAGGAAATAGTAGATAGAGCAGAGATACACATAATAGTGAGTATGATAATTACTGTTGCCTGGAATGTGGCAGTGTGCAGTTTGGTAAATATGTACCAGCCTTTCAGAGGAAACTGCTGCCTTCATCTTCAGAGTAGAAGGTATACTGAAGATGGAGGCAGCAGTTTCCTCTGAAACTGTCTCTGTATCTAATTGATGGCCAGATGTCATGCCACCAAATAGAAGTATGTAGTAGAGCCAGTCATTTCTGTTGACATCAACTATTTCAGGCTGTGTTATTGGTTATTGGAGTCTGCAGTGTTAGTATCCAAGAAATATATTTACCTTCTGGGGCTTGATATTTAATGTTTAGCTTTAGGGTAGGTTACCCAATGTGGAACAATTACCAGCCCACTGCTCATTCCAAAAATGGAAGTTACTTCATCTGACTCCAACTCTTCACCTTATCCGATATTGTCAATCCTAAAAGAATCATAAGATCTCACCAACATTGATGGTTAGTATGTCCTCATCACAATAGAGTATTCTGCAAGGAATACTTTTTAAGTAACACATTCATTGTCAGTCACTTAAATGCCAAGTCAGTTCTAAAGGAGTCTGATGATAGGCCAGTGGCTGAGGTTAGCTGTTTCTAATTGATCCTACAGAGTAGGCGTTTCCACCTTTCACATGAGGATGGAAACAGATGCAGTTTCTGAAATATTGTGTTCTTTAGAATACTGGACAGTGGACAAGTCCCAGTAACTCCTTAATCCTGAATTTAAATGCTAGTTACACCAAGGAGCCATGGCTAGAAAAACTATCACAAGCATTTTCAGTTGCAGGTGCAGTTGCCTTTCTTAAGCATACAATAAAACTGCTGGATTTGAGGGTCTCTTGGAGGTGATTATGAAGAGTTCTGTCTTCTGGAATGTAATGTATGTAGTTCTGTGAAAGTCAGCCATCATTCTGGGGGAACATCTGCCTCCATCTTCTGGGGTAAGGGGTAGGACATGCAAGAAACCAGCATGCTTACTGCCTTCTTCATGCAGGTTTCTTGATTGACTTACTCTTTGGACTTGAAGATGGAGGCAATGTGATCCTCTGAAACATTCTTTCCACTGAACTACATGGAGTTTTATCCCAGAAGATAGAACTCTTATATTAAAATTGATGATATTCCAATTCCTCAAAATGTGTTAAACAAGCTAACTGGCTTTTATGGCTCTTTCCTAACATCTGACATCATGACATTTTAGGCACTGCAAGTGCATGCTCACTGCTGTTAATTGTAAATATGCCAATGTATTTGGGTGAGATTCATTATATGTACCTTTTGGAACATAGATTCCTGTAATTGCAATTTGATTTCAGGAGCAAATGAGCCATTGCAGAGGTGGGAGATGTGTATAGAAACGCTTCAGAGGTTTATGGCATTTGCTCTGGCAACAATGCAGGATCAAGCCATGGCTGAAACTGACAGAAATGCTGCTATAAATGTGGTAAGCATGATGGTGAATGGCC